TTTGAACTCATGACTCATGAAAATGCCAAAAAATGCTTAAGTTGTCTGTTTTGTTAACATTAAAATATGCTTCTCCCTGTCACAAGAATCTGAAAGTGGTTCATCTGGGCTGGAAGGAAGTGCAGGAAAAGCTGTAGTGAGGATTTTTATTTCTGTTATGATTGATTGCAATTCAAAGCGACTGTATGTAAGGACACTAAGCCAACCAGATAGATATTAGAAAGAACCTCTTAGCATTGTACAGTAAATTCAACAGCACTAAACTTTTTTTTTTTGCAAACTAGTTTTAGCAGCAACAGGCCATTAAACCTTCATGGTGGCAGAAGGCCTTATTGCAGATCTGTTGTAATATTCAGCTTTAAAACATATGTATATGATTTTTACATAAAGCGTTACATTTAAATATAAATAAATGTATTGAAAATTATGACAGTAACTGCAATATTTCTTTCTTTTTTTTTTATTTGCATAAAAAACGCTTACCTCCCAACAACTTCTACTGGGCATGCGCTGTGGAACAGAGCCGGAAGTCCATCGACAACCGTAAACACAGCTGTTGAAGCTGTGCTGCTATTAGTTTCAGAAAGATGGTGTACGTGTCTAACGGTGAGTGGTTTGACCTGTGTTGTCAACCTTTTTGTCGTTGTCAGAGCGAATATTTAGCTTTTCTCAAGCCAATTTTATATATAGGATATTTTAAAACACACTACTTCAAACGGAATATGTATTTATTCGGCTAGATTTAGCCAATTAGCTCGTTAGCTAGTTTAGCCAGGCTGAATCTGCGTAGCCGAATAGTTGTGCTATCATGAGCATTAGGTGATTTATTTAAAGCAGCTAATGGCTACGATAATGTTTTGTTTTTCGTTTGCGTTTAAAGTGAAATCATCCTAAAATACTTCTGAGAAACTGGGTCGTGTTATGCTGTGTTTTACTTGTATGCCTCAGCTAGCTGTTAGCATGTTCATTTTTATGAGGACATTGTTGGCTCTGAAGGAACAGCATCAGCATTTGTTTCTGCTTCTGCTGTTTCACAAACCTGTCTCTGTGTCTTCCAGGTCAGGTCCTGGACAGCAGGGCCCAGTCTCCATGGAGACTTTCCTTACTGATTGATCTGTTCTGGGGAGCAGTGGAGTTCATCGGCCTCTTGTAAGTCAATCAGTCAGATCAGTATTGCACAAAGTGATCCAGATGGTCATATTGTTTGTTAGAATGGATGTGTGACCCACTGAATGATGTCATTTTACATGTCAGAGGTGATGTATGGATGTTGAAACTCAAGAGATTTAGCCCAGCCAAGAACAGCAGTGTTTAAACTTTAGCCTAATAACCACACCACAGTAAAGTAGTTTCACAGTAAAATTAAAATAAAATGTTAAACCCTGGCAAAGTGAGGCCACTTTCTTACTATCCTCTGCTCATGTTACACAATAATATCACAGTAAGTACAGGACATCTAGACTGGTGCTTCTCAAACTGTGTGCCTTGGAATAAGCCTTAGTCATGGTGATTTACATCTGTAATCATATGTAAAGCTGTGTCCGGCCCTCGTGACAGCTGCCAGCTGGAGTCAGACTGGTTTATCTTTTAGGGAAATAAAGATCATTCTGGTGTTTTTTTAAAATAATTTTGATAGTTGTTTCTATAGGAGTTTCTATTGTCAAATATCGTGGTGGTAGTAAAACTAAAAATTACGCAATAGCAAGAGACATACAAAATTAAGAATAACAGCCATATCAGCAGCTCAGTGAGGCTTTACTTAGAGATGGAAGTGTTTTGAGCTCAACATTAATGTCAATATTTACATACTGGTCCATCAATGACAGCACTGATGTTTAGCAACGGCTCTTTATGATTTTTTTCTAAATTAAGGGCATTAAGAATGTTTTGAAACATGTAGTCATGCTGAGGCAGCTCAGAGTTTAATTTGTTTTGCAGGAATTTTATAAAAAAAAACAGACATTTTAGAGAAAATGGATGTTTTTATTTGACCACATACCACTGCTATTCACGCTGATGTTCTTTCTACTAGTTTTAAGACGTTGGTTCACCCTGACCTGACAAAGGATGGAAACACGAGTTCATCACGCTTCAGTGATGGCAGAGGGTAAGTCCCTGGAGCACAGTCATCTCTCTACTTTGACACACACCTCAGGGACTTGTCCTACATGTCCTCCTTTCCTTAACATTGATGGTATCCTCATCAGACAGCAACATGTAATTGAAGCTGGCTGAGTATTTGTTCTGGAACAAAGTATCGTGTTTAACTGTGAGGAAATAGTGTATATTGTGTGTTTCTGGGATCCACAGATTACGCTTAGCTTTTTAAAAACTGCATTTAGAAATTTCCTCACTTTGGAAATCCAGAGTTTAACTATGCTGTTGTCCACCTCAGCACCGGTGAGTGAATTTACATCCAGCTTACACCACTTGTCCGTCTCATGTTTGTCTCCTCTGTTGCTTGCTTTTGCAGTCCTCCAGGTCCCCCTGGTGGCAGAAGGCGGATAGGACGAATATCCCACGGTGGAGGTCCAAACGCTCCACCAATGGGTGGAGGAGGATGAGGAAGGTGAGGAGCAGTTTTTCTGAATTAAACTTTGATCATCATATAAACCCTTTGCTGTTTTTTCGTACCTCCTATTTCCAAACACTGTATCAGGTTTAAGTGAATGTTAAAACAATCAGAAAGCTTAAATGTTAGCAATTTTTTCCACACCACTGATGGATAGCCAACTGTAGTGGCTCAGCTGTACCGATCGCTTTACAATGGAAACATTTGGTTTATAGTTTCTGCATTTGCAGCTTGTTCTTAAAAATATCAACATTTTGAAGTTGTTTTTTTAAGTGTCCAGGAGATACTTCAACATGATGTGAATAAAACATTACATATATTACATATATATATACAACTGCATAACTCTTATTTCTCTCCAGGTAAACGCCTACACATGCAGTGTAGGCGCGGGGCTTTGCACAGAGTCTGTCTGCTGAGAACCCAAAGAAAGATGCTGACGTCACAGTGCTGAAGCCCCTCTTCAACAGCTGCTACTGCCACGAGCAGTTTCTTGACGCTTTTCTGGGAATTCCTACACGTAGGGGCCAGAATGGCTGATACAGCAGCTATCTGCATCCCTTCCTCCCCTTTTGCTGTTTTCTGCCCTTCCACCTTGCAGTCACACCAGTCTCTTAGAGTTTAACAGTGGTAATTATGTTCTGTTTATCCCTCCTGGGAATCATCAGTTAGTTTGTCTTTGTTTTGTATCCCTCTGTTTAATAAAAAAATTACTACTGAGTTTGTCTCATTCCATCGCTGTCACACTTAGCAATGAAACACGGAGCTGAGCAATATTAGGAAATTACTGTCATACGTTCCACTCTGTGGTATCGATGTTGATCGTGTGAAGATAGGTATTTTAAAATCAACGAGAGGCTGTCTGGAAGATAATTTTGTTATTTGTCACACTCATGAGGTGGCTGCAACATTTGACTAACTTATATCATTGAGAAATTTGGCTCATGCTAAAGGCAAACGTGTGTTTAAATTCAATATTCTGTTTTTTTTTTTGTTACGATCAAATGCAACTAATGTGTATCCAAGTTTGACAGATTTATTTACAATTCCAGACATGAACATGAGAGAATCACAGCACTATTTACGTACCACTCTTCAATCAAAAGACCATTCAAATATTTTACAATAATGACAACATCTGGGTTCTTGAAGATAGACACAACCAACACGGTATTTAAAATATAATACTGTCTCTGTGTTCAGCGTTAGCACAAGAAATTACATTTTTGCCTCTGGGACCACAACGCTGCATTCATTTGATCAAGAGTTGTAGCAACACTGAGCAAAAATATGAACACAGCATGCAAGTCTCACACAGTCTCTTCTGACTTTCTGAACATTTTTTTAACCTAATTTCTATCGTTTTGGTTAGAAAAGTGAAATTTAGCCAACTATACACCAAATGATTTCAAGCTGTTTAACCGGTGACAAATTCTGCAGTCACTCAGTTATTCAGTCTCACCACGTGTGGCTTTAAAGGACAATGACATCCTTTAATACTTATTCACCTTTGTTAAAAACAACAATATGCTGCATTTATGTTTTTTTTTTTCCAGTATATTTCTTTTGCAGTTTGTGCAGTCGGCTTCACACTCTGTATCCCAGTGAGTCTTAGCTTCATGTGTTTAGTTTCACCAGACAAAAGCAGCTCTCTCACGTAGCATTCTCACACCGAAGCGTTGCCACTCTCTCTGGTGAATCCACATCTCCTGCGTGGTGTCCAGACACGCCAGCACTGCTCCTCCCTTCCACGATATCAGCCGAGGATCCATGTCCTAGCGCACATTAATATGCAATATATTAGAGGATCAGTGCGTCGCATTTTGTCACCGTGCCTGCGTTGCGGATCTGCCGCTTATTCTGAGAGCGTATTCCGGGTTACCTTTGGCCGTGTGATAACTTCCACGTTGTCCACCAGCCTCCTGAAGGAAGGCGGCATCTTGTTGATGATGCGGTGAAGCAGAAACTCCTGAGCGCCGTGAAACATGAGGCCTCCTCCTACCACCAGGATGGAGCTGTACATCTTGCGTTTGGTTTCATCTGATGCTGTCAACCAAAAAGACGAAAGGAGTTACAACAGGACATCCTGAGCATCGGGAAACAGCTTTCCTCTTCCTTCATTTTTCACTTTATTGTTTTATTACTAAAGGGTCATTCCGCCTCAGTTCACAGAATGCACCCGCTTGAGCATCTTCAGTTTAACTGATTTTATTTAAAGTTGCGAATATTGATCACGTTGACCATGTATAAAATCGGTGGTTAATAGGTAGAATTAGTTTTGAGTTAAAAAATTCTTTAAAAAGGTGGGGTCATGTCAATTTTCGTGCTGTTTAATGTTAATGTTAATGTTTAATGTTTAAAATGCCATAACTTGAGAAATAATGTAGCCAGAGTCCTGAAATCCTGCAGGCTCATTATTGATATGTACACATGGTCCTTAATGGTAAAACCCTGCTTTGACAGAACACCCTGAACCAATTACATGATGGTGTAGATTTGGTTCAAAAAAAAAAAAAAAGTCAATGTTTCTCTCTGATATTCCACCAACCACAAAACCTTCATATTCACCCAAAGAGGCTGAGTTTTGCCCTGTGTTTTGCACCAATCGGAGCTTTAAGAAGAGTATGGTGCCATTCAGAGGCAGACTTTATGAGAAAAGTATTACTGAAATTACATCTTTTGCATTTAAGGCCACTATTAGGAGCAGGTATGATGGTGAAACCACTCCAACAGTGTCCCAACTGGAAGAGATAACTATAATATTGTTACTGGACAAAAAGAAACATCATGGTTTCCCTATTCATAAGGCTTTAAACAATTCAAAAAAGTTAGAAATTATTATTTAAAACATCTATATAAAAAAGTGGTACAATAAGCAATCAAATACAAGATGATAAGGCATGAATTTTCTTAAAAATGTGATTAATTTAGATGAAATGATCCTATATTAAAGATGTTAATATGGTTCATGTAGCTTCTTACCACAGCAGTCGATGCTATGCAGGATTGCCTTATCCAGTCCCAGTGCTTTGCTCTCAAACTGGCTCATGATGGCGGTTTTCCGGGAGACGTGAGCAGACAGGGGCTCCTCCACCTCTCCTGCCCCCATAAGGCACTCCCCCTGGGCAGGCCCAAGCTCCATCTCCCCCTGCATCCCTCCTCCACCTCCGCCACTGCTACCACAGCCCCTGGGCAGGTCTGACAACTCCCCCATTCCTCCCTGACTGCTCATCTCACCATCCAAACCTCCACCTGGTCTGGAAACAGCCTTTCGGTCTGCAGCAGATTTGGAGGACTGTTGGTAAAAATAGTAGAATAAGCAAAAAAAAAGGACCAGAATCAGATGAATGTATGATATGTGTGCCTGTCTTGGTGTGTTACCTGGTCCTGTTTGCTCTGCGTGGCCAGCAGGTAGTGCTCATCATGAGGATCCTCGGAGTCGCCTTGAGAACGGTACTGAAGCGATGTCATCTTCTGACCTACGATGCCAAATGTGGTCGGGTAGAAAAGACCCATGGATGCCTGAAAAGGAGACACACATACACAAGCAGGAAAGACACAAGGTGAGGAACAAATTGAGACACAGATGACGAGTAATGTTTGAGTTTAGCAAAAGCTGAAGAAGAAATAATGTAAAAAGTCAGCACTGCCCTGTAGCGCTGCTTGAAAAATACCTGTAATTTCTCATCCCCAAGTCGAACCTGGTACAGAAGAGCTGGGGCTTCTGGGAAACGAGTCTGGAATTCGTGATCTTGTAGTCCTGAAATGTCCTGTTAAGGAGAACAGAGGAGCTTTGGAATTAATCAGAGTAACAGTAAATACCTCTATTCATTCTTGAAGACAACTACCATTATTTAAACAGACGCAAAGCACTGAAGGTAGAAGCCACAGTCACAGACGACCACCCGCCCCACTACCAGCCCCCGACCAACACACACTTGATTTAGATGGCAGAAGGTCTCTTTCAGATGCTGCAGGAGCTGACAATCCAGTCTGCTGGACAGCTGACAGTCTCTGTAGGGAAATCCGGCCCTTTGCAGGAGCCAGAAGAAAGTTCGGGTCACATCTGAGCCGCCGTACGCCAAACACAACCTGCAGGGTTCCAACAGACAGAACAGACATGTAACACATACAGTCGTCCTCAAATAATAAATAGTAATAAGTAACAATAAGTAAAAAAAATGTATGAAAATCATGATGTTGCATTTGAATTGTGGTTCAACAGAAATATTTCTAAAAAAACAACAACAATCAAACAATCATGATGGGACCCGTAAACTAATATTTAGTATTAGTATTAATATTTAACAACCCTTTGAGCCAATCACTGTCATCAAGTGTTTTCTGTAACTCCCAATCAGACTTCTGCACCTGTTGACAGGTGTTTGGATTTCACTGCTCATCAGCAAAGTGCTCTAATATGTCCAGGACAGTTTTGTTTGTTTTTTAAATTATTCTTTTCAACCACAATTCAAAATCAACGTCTTATTTCACTAAATTATAATTTAGCAAATTTTTGTTTATTAACACTTTTGTCAGTTTCTAGTTATTTGAGTGACTAGTGTAAATTTTGCCTTTTTTTTAATGGAAGGTTTTGAACATATTTGACGACGACTGTTCAAAATACTGCACGATATCAACATGAAAATCGTATTTTTACCAAATATGCACATATGAATTATTCATAGATATTTATCAAACATAAAATTGGTTCTCCATATGCTCCTTTCTCCACTACAATTTATTTATTTGTTTGCTATCATTATTCGTGTATTTGTGAAGCGCCTTTGAGTGTCTTGAAAAACGCTATATAAGTGCTATGTATTATTATCATTATTCTTAATCCCACCTGGAGTTCCGATGGGACACTCCGTCCTCTACGCAGCAGAGACTGGTCTTCTGGTCGCCTACATCCACGACACAAGCACTGCTTAACCCGCTGCCAAACGTAGCACAAACCGACTCCTGGTGCACAATGATTGCTACACGTACAAACACACAGAACAGAGTGAGTCGACAAAATGCGAGGAAGACTAGATGGTACCTTCGGCCAATGAATAGGCTCAGGAGGAGGATAACCGTATGTATATAACAGTTTATACAAAAGAAGTGAATACACCTCTGTGCAATATTACCTAAATGTCAAATGACTACAATGTGTATCACCTCTTAATAACGGCATTGTTTCTAAGTTGACACGTAGCGTATTTCCTAATATGAACAAATTCAAAGATTATATTTAAAATTCAGACCCTCTCATCTTGTTTCTGTCTGCTTCATAGCTTCATATGGAAAAGATTCGCTAGAGTAAATGAAAAAAATCTTATCGCAACCCTTGATGGAAAAGGATACAGGAAGATCAGCGACCGACTAAAAATGAGTCAAACCACAGCTGCAATTCTAATAGGTGGAGAACAAGCCATAGCACCACTAATCAGAGTAACAGCAGAGTAACAACACAGACAGTGCACTACTTGCACAATCTAGCTCTGACTTTGCACAGCAGTTATCAATGGAAATCAATTTGTCTGTGGTAACTCAGACAGAGAGAATTTCCGTGCAAAAACATCGGCCTCTATGACGGTGTTCAAGAAAAAAACCCTGCCTTCCGCTTCCGCAGAAAAATGCAAGATGACACTTTCCTAAATAGTATGTAAATAAGCCTCTTGAATGTTGGGAGAGCATTGTCTGGGAAGATGAGACCAAGATCAATGTTTCTGGCTCAGCGGAAACCAGTGTGTTTGGCCTGAGCCTGTTCAGGACTATTACAGGGAAGGCATCGTCCTGACAGCGAAGCACAGAGGTGGGAGTGTGATGATGTGGGCTGCAGGAGCGCAAAAGGTGTTGGGGCGATGACATTTACAGATGGCACCATGATGATATATCAAAATACTGGCTGATAAGACAACTCCCACTCTGTATTTCCAAGGAACTGTTAGCTGCTGGAGTACAACTCCTGACTTGAATTCAATAGAACACCTTTGGGGTTATTTTAAAGAGAAAGATGGAGCGACACAACAACAAAAAATACTCTATGAAGAATGGCAGAACATCTCTCCAGAAATGTTCATAGCACATTTATCCTTCATGCTGAGGATTGAGTCTTCAGTCTAAATGTGGACAAACAAAGACCTGGAAAAACAAGATTTGAATCACAGCAATGTTTCCTGTAGTTTCTACAGCGAGGCTTGTGTTGTTTTTTGTTTTTAATCTGGTGAATATAATCTTCTAGTTTTTAGTTTTAAATAAGATGTTCTACTGTTGGGCTGCACGGTGGCTCGGTGGTTAGCACCGTTGCTTCGCAGCAAGAAGGTTGCCGGTTTGCGTCCCGGTGAGGACACCTGGGATCTTTCTGCGTGGAGTTTGCATGTTCTCCCCGTGCAGCGTGGGTTCTCTCTGGGTTCTCCGGCTTCCTCCCATACAGTCCAAAAACATGTTGCGGTGAATTGGTGATTCTAAATTGTCCGTAGGTGTGAATGTGAGTGTGCTTGGTTGTCTGTCTCTAAGTGTAGCCCTGTGATAGACTGGTGACCTGTCCAGGGTGTCCCCTGCCTTCACCCTGAGTCAGCTGGGATAGACTCCAGCTCCCCATGACCCTAGTGAGGATTAAGCGGAATATAGATAATGGATGGATGGATGTTCTACTGTTCAACTTGGAAATGATACAAATACTGTACGGTCATACCATGTCAAATCGTTTGACATTTAGGAGACACTGAATGGGGGTGTACTCAATGTTGTATACTGAATGTACATGTAGAGTGTTCATGAATTATACCTGAGAAGCCCATATTAAGCAGCAGCATGTTGACAACTTCCTTGATGTGCTGTCTGTTGTAGATGTCAGGGACCAAAAGGATGCATCTGTAATACTGGCAGTCAGGGACAAAAACAAAGTATTAATGTGTAAAGAGCATTTCCACCGTCTGTGAAGCTTGATCCCTTAAAATATCATCTTCATGATTCAAAATTATATTATTTTAATCCTTTCTTTATCTGTCTTCTTTGAGCATTTATTGTTTTCTAGTTTCAGCTCATTCTGCAGAAACACACACCAAGACATGTCTTTACAAAGAGGTTTCTCCTACCTTTAAATCTTTAAGAGGGATCTCCAGATGCTTCTGAAGGACGTGACTCCAGATCGTCTCAAGATCGGCCAGGACGGCAGTCAGTGAGCCTCCGGGACCAGAGTGAACGTTAAGCTGCCCTCTCATCATAGGCCAGTGGATGTTGTAACAGTCTGACGGATTCACATAGAGAGCCTGCATGACGGCAGGATGAATAAAAATGGGTACATACTTTAGGTGATGCAAACCGTTTTACATGACTAATGTACTCGTTCAGACACATGCACTGACCTCCTCTCCCACCAGATGTGGAGGATGATGGCTCGTGTTTGTCCACTTCACCCTGGAGCTGCTGTCTAGAACTGCTGGACGGATCTGACAGTTATACGCTCGGGCCTAAACACACGCATAAACATAGCAACTGGTATAAGATGGATACATTTAGGACAATTAAAGCAAACAGACACCAGAGTTATTTATTACACTTATCGAGGTGTGTCAGAAAAGTTCCAGGACTGGTGTCACAAAACATATATTTCAAACCCAAACTACAAATTAGGAGTTTTCCCCTTCAGACGATCAACCAGCACGTCTACAAAGAGATCCTGCAGCGTTTGTTTTGTTCAGAAGAGGCGAGAGTTGTGGCAGGACAAGTCGTGGCTGCTTCACCATTACAATGCTCACAACGCCCTGAGCATCCCACAGTTCCTGGCTGAGAAGAACATCGCAATGCTGGAGCAACCTCCCTACTCACCCTACCTGGCTCTGTGGGATTTTTTCTCTTCCTCAAGCTCAAGGGGGTCATCAAGAAATATATCTTTTGTGACACCAGTCCTTTAACTTTTCTGACACACCTCGTATATGACTGTCTGACACAGACGTGTTGTGTACAATTCTAAAATCATGTTTTCACTCTGTCATTATTGTTAACCAAGTGTAGATTGATGAGGAAAAAAAAAAAAAAACGCCAAACGACCATGCAAAAAGTTCCGGAGTCTGAGCTTTCTGAGGCGAATGCATCTAAAATTTACTAAAAAGAGAGTAACAATCAAATATGGCCATAGTGTTAACATTAAAAACTCATGAGCTGACAGAAGGAGATCTGACAGCACCATCGTCATCTCCTCCTCTCCCGGGTTGAGAATATACACATAAACATAAGTAAATATATGCATCACTCAGCCGATTCTTTCTTATTTTGCACAGCGCCTTTAATACTGGCACTTCCTTTTTTATTTCAGTATCCCTCAAGTTTTAATGGAATCACTTTGCTGCTATATCACAGAATTACACACATGCATCAGTCCTGTTTCACCTCCTTTTTCCTTCTTTCATAAACACACCTGTTCAGCTGACACAGGAGTCCGTCTGACCCCGTTTGACATCTTCTTGGACCAGATGGCCTGGTCGACCATTTTAAGGCCGTTCTGCCGCTGCTCGTTGCTCTCTGGTTTCTGTCGGACAGCAAGATCAAGCAATTAGGAGACGACAGCAACAGGCACTTCCTTTGGAAACAGTGGAATAAGACACAAAGCGATTATATTGTGAACATGAGTGACTATACGTTTAGACCGTCTCTCAACAGCCACGGGTCTTCATATCTTGGTTGTCCACTCTGCTTGTGTCTGCGTGCTATGACATGAGGGACGGTCACCGGAAGAGTGTCTGTTGCTCGGCCAATACGAAGCGTCCTCGACCCAGGGTGGATGACGACGATGAAATTGCTCTGTATTTGCTGTGAAAGAGGAAACGAGATTAGATTTTTCACGGAAAAGAAAATATGTGAGTACTTGAACATTATACTCTCAGTACATCACTCCATAAACAGTGGAGATTAATACGCCACTACAGCAGCTTCACCCTTCTGGGAAGGCTTTCCACGTGATTTTGGAACCTGCCTGCAGGCATTTGTTCCCATTCAGCCACACGAGCTTCACTTCGGTCAAACAGTGATGCTTCGATTCATCCCAAAGCTCTGTACAGGCCAGTTTATGTCCCCAAACTCAGAAAAGCATTTCTTTATGGATCTGGCTTTGTGTACAGGGAAACGGAAATCAGTCTTGCTCACAATGTTGGACAAACACTCATGTTTGAAACATTGCATGCTGCACCATTAATGTGTAACCTTGAAAAACGACCCCAGAAACAAGCTGTATGTGAGACGTCCACATACTTCTGGCCATTTATGCAAAAACTCCCGAAAGAGAAGCTCAATAGGGAGGATTCATTTAGTTTAAACTACATGGTCAACCATTTAAAACTATTTTATCTACACCTAAAAAGATTTAATTTGGTGGTCTCAGGAACAATCTTCTGTTAACAGATATTGCGATTCGCTGTATCATTTTAAAAGCCTCAGTTGGGTATTTATTGTGTAATAGATGTAAAACGTGGTGAATCAGTTCCACATGAGAGAACAATAAGCATCAACTCCTCTGAATTCTAATGCAAAAATAAGAACCTACAAGACGTAATTAGCTTCAAACGTGTATTTATGATATTTTAAATGGAACAATCATCACAAAAACTGTGACTGAATTGAAGTCAGTAATAAGTAATATTGTCAAATACATTATTTTCAGTTAGAAAATAAAAGGACCTTTCTGTAAACAATGTCTGTCATGGAAACCAGTTCGGCATCCATGTCTCAAGTAAAGTAAATGAATGGTGATAAGAAGTAAACACTGCCAGGCACCTTTGTGATTCGCTGATTGAATTGTTTTAGATATAGATTAGAAACCCATTGATCGTCCCGCCCTCATCTGAAGGCATCACTTTGGGACTACTGTAACCTACAATGTGCTTCAGCTGAACCACAGACGCTTTGCTGTGTGAACAACAAACACAGGAACCAAAAATGAACTAAACTCAAGTCGCGCCATTCAAAGTGACAGATGAGTTGTAATAATTAAGCCTTTAAGTGCAGAAGGAAAGTCGGTGCCTGTGAAAACTAAAAGTCCTGACTGGTAGACATTCAGACACGCATATTCAGCTACACTATCGATATTAAAACCCCCGGGTTTCCTCTCACCTCCTGCGGAGGCTCTGGGATCACCGGAGGAGCGATGGGTCGCTTCACTCCGCGCTGCTGCTCCTTCTCTTTCTCCTTGTCTCGCTCCTTTTCTTTCTCCTTCCCGTTATCCTGCTCTTTATCAGCCTGAGTCATCGCCACGCTTTAAATTAACCGACTAAATACTCAGAAATAACGAGCAACTAGAGTTTGGACAACCGCTTCCAATTTCAACCAGAAACGAGCTCCTTTCAGCCGCATGAGAAGTTGTAGCTGCAGCGGCAAATACGAAGCTACTTCCGTGTTTGGTCACGTGGCACAAAACGGCAATTTCTATTCGTCAAAAGATTTTTGCTCATAAACTCAATAGAAAATATTTGCAAATTATTGAATGGTGAAAGATTCATTGGTCCCCTGGTCACAGATGAGTATGTGTATATATTTAGCTATACATAAATATAAAATAAATTAACTATTTTATTTTGATGACTTTGAGACTTACTGTGGTTTGCTGTCAGCTCATCAGTCAATCAACCATTTAATAGCACTTTGTTTCAATAGCGTTTTTTCTGCAAACTGAATGTTTAAAAAATGCTTTGAAAAGGAGTGAAACACAAAATCTATCATTTAAATAAATGCCACCCTTCCTGAGCGTGGTTCAGTTGGAGGTTTCTTAGACTTAGACTGTCTTTATTAATCCCAGAGAAAAATTCTGTTGTTACAGCAGCAATATTCAACAAAGGGGTAAACAATGCAAAAAGACAACACAGAGTATGAAAGCAGGGTATAAAATGAAGGTAAAATAAGATAAAAATAAGATAAAAATATAGAAAATATAATATAGAAAAAGTCAGCACATTTACAAGAATATAAGAATAAAATATAAGAGATGACAGAAATGTGCAAATGGACAGAATATGCAAATATGCTTAGATTGAAGCATTAAAAAGTCCGAATGACCTCCTGCTTCATCCTGCTACATGGGAGTTTCTTCCCCAGTGTCACCAAGATGATGCTCAAGTGAAATCTTTGGATTAAGAGTGTTTTCCATGTATATTTTGTAGGGCCGTACATTAAAATTTCAAATCCGTCAGGCAAATTTCCACAGTTAGCGCCATTGTAAGTCAGGTGAATTTGTGTTTCATGTCATTTTGTTGGGTTTTAGGTGGAGTGTGTAAATTACTCCAATAATTCAAGTAATAAATAATCCCATATGGTCTTAACTTTAATATAGAAAGAAATTTGTTAGGTGAATTATATTTATTGTTACACAACATTTGTGGCCCCAAGTCACAATGACAGTAAAAAAAAAAAAATCACCATTATTATAGTTTATGAATCCATTCCTGTACAAATCCAACACAATCTGTCAACTGAAAAAATGTGTCTTACATACACATCAGTTTTAACACATTCCATGTTTTGAACTTGTACGTACGTGCTGTAATTGTAGTGTTGTATATTCTGCTGCTACTTATGTGTTTAGTAGGTCGACCCGCTGTGGTCAGCTGACAGCAGTGTTCATTACATTCTGTTAATATGTTGAAGGAGTCTACCAGGGGATGCATTTGGAGAGAAGCAGGGTGCACTGGATTACTGCCCAGAACATCACAGGGGTAACATCTGTTGACAGACAAAAACCCACTCACATCTGCAAACAGTTTAGAACTTTGCTGTGTGGGAGGAAACAATGCAAACCGTCAACCTTGTGAAAAGCCCCACTGAGCAGGGGCGGGTTTTATCCAGGAATCACACAGATTTTCATAGAACACGCAGCGTAGTATGTAGTTGGTGGCTAATTAGAAAATGAATTTTGGTACAACTATGTCTTTCTTTTCATTTAATATTGAGGAAGAAACAAACAAATACAACAAATAAATTATTATTTGGGTATTTTATACAAAAATGGCAAAGAGAAGTTGTCTTTGTCATCTGTTCCTTTAAATTTGTTGATACTCACTGGCCTTGAAGCAGTTTATATTTTCCACAGGAGAATGACAACAGACACTAAAAGGGCATGTCTGAATGAGGCAGAATGTACATAAAAAGCAAAAATGAGCAACTTTGATTTTATTCTAAACCAAAGATAAAAACACAGACAGAAGTGCATGTCTATGTCATGTGGAAAAACAAGTAAATAAATGAATTGTACAAAACTGTAAGCAAAAGGCAAGAGCCTGCTATGCACTCACCAACTCATCCTGACCCATTCTTCATCCGTCAGTCAAAACATTCTCATTACAGATTTTCAAACAGTGCTGACCACAGATTTCATCGGTTGCATCTCGGAAATGCTCGGCTGGTGGCCCCTGAGCATTTCCACTGCTTCCCTTAACTTTGACGCCTTCTTCTCGCAGTAGGAAACCCCTGGTCTAAACAGCAGAGCTGATATCTTCTTGTCACTCCGCCTCACATCATGAAGACCTTTGCAAAGTTTGCTTAGATCCTTCATCAAACGGAAAGTCCTGCAGGTCCTCAGTTCCGGCGCTAAGGTCGAAGGCTTCTTGTCCTGCTGCGCGCCCAGCTGCACCACCCAGAACTTCGCCAACTCGCTGGCGTTCTTGGCACTGCTCGCCACCATGTTGAGGATCAGAGGGTAGAGGTCATGAGCTGCAGCTGGGATGGAGAGTTCTGGGATGCCGTGTTGAGGAGGGCAGGAGATGGCCTGAGACAGAGAGAAGAGAATTCAATTCAATTTTATTTATATAGGGCCAATTTACAGCATATGTCACCTCAAAGCACTTGACATAGTAAGGTGAAGACTTTATAAATTTTAACAGAGAAATCCAACAAATCTCCAAAAATAAGAGAAGAAAATTCAGTTCAGTTCAGTTAGTCCATCCATTATCTATAATCCTCACTAGGGTCGTGGGGGGCTGGAGTCTATCCCAGCTGACTCA